ATATTATGCGTGATCTCCGCTTTGACCCTGATTTAAGTAGCAAGTTCTGAAGCCTAATTGAAAAAGGAAAAAAAAAAAAAAATTAATAAGAAAGAAAGAAAAACAGCAAACAGAGAAAATTTTCTCTTTATTATGAGATCTCTCAAGACCCAAGTGGAGAACCAGAATGAAGTAAATCCTGCATGGTTTCCACTTTAAAATTTACCATTCCCGAATTCAAATGCAAGTAATTATTGAAGGCCACAATCAACCAAGTAAGTTCAGCAACCAAGGCTTAAGAGACTTCTTTGGCAGCTGCTACAACAGCTTCCATTGTAATACCAAATTCCTTGTATATCTTTCCTGCAGGAGCACTGGCTCCAAATCCATCAATTCCAATGGCCTTTCCTTTAACTCCAACAATCTTCTCCCATCCAAATGTTGATCCAGCTTCAATGCTAACCCTAGCTGTTACAGCAGATGGAAGGACACTTTCCTTGTAATCATTCGATTGCTCATCAAAAAGCTCCCAAGAAACAAAGGAGACAACTCTGACTGCCTTGCCTTCTTTTCTGAGTTCGTCAGCAGCCTTAACTGCAATTTCCAACTCTGAACCTGTTCCAATCAAAATGACATCGGGCTTGTTACTGGATGAATTATCTGATATGATGTAGCCGCCCTTTTCTACTCCTTCGATGGATGTTCCAGCAAGCTGGGGCAGCTTTTGACGAGACAGGGCGAGGACTGACGGTCTCTTCCTGTTAAGAACTGCCACCTTGTATGCACCAGCTGTCTCATTGCCATCAGCTGGGCGGAGCATCAATATGTTGGGCATTGCTCGGAAACTTGCCAAATGCTCAATGGGCTGATGAGTTGGTCCATCTTCTCCAAGTCCAATTGAATCGTGAGTCATGACATAGATAACTCTGGCTTCAGACAAAGCTGAGATCCTCATGGCTGCTCTCATGTAGTCCGTGAACACAAAGAAAGTTGCACAATAGGGAATGAGACCAGGGGTGTGGCAGGCAATTCCATTGCAGATGGCTCCCATGCCATGTTCACGAACACCGAACCTTACATTACGCTCTTCTGGTGTGCTCTTTTGGAAGTCGCCAAACATTTTCAGAAGAGTCATGTTGGAGGAGGCAAGATCAGCACTTCCACCAAGCAAACCAGGTAGAACCTTTGCAAGAGCATTGAGGTTTTGTTGTGAGAGATTTCTTGTGGCATCAGCTGGAGCCTCCGGAGTGTATGTCTGAAGAAAAAATTACATGTCAGAGACAAGTAGTTACAAGCTAATAGTGGTGCTTATCAGTACTGAAAAAATGGAAAGATAAAATGAGGATACTATTATAGCACTTGAAGAGAAGTCAACTGGAAACCAAAATGGTAGAACAACTCACAGGAAGAGCTTTCTCCCAACCAGCAGGGAGTTCACCAGTAATGATAGATTTCAACTCTGCAGCTTTCTCTGGATACTTCTTCTCGTATTCAGCAAATTTGGCATTCCATTCGGCTTCAAGGGCAGCACCATCAGGGACATGTCGGCTCCAGTGCCTACAAAAACAGCGCCCACCTGTTGGCATTCATGTAATAGGGAAAAGTGGACATAGATTCAACAAGTAAAATCAAATAATTCTCACTTCTTCACATCCTCAGGAACATGGAAAGGCTCATGAGGCCAGCTAAGGCTCTTTCTGGTGGCCTCAACTTCCTTGGCACCTAATGCACTTCCATGTACACTATATGAGTTTGCCTTGTTAGGGGATCCATAACCAATGGTCGTAGTCACCTGAGAAGAACAAAAAGGCAAACAACTTCAAATAACTGTAAAAAGTTATTCAAGGTAGGCGGCCAATAAAATAGCTATATCCACATAATACATTATAGAAAATATCCAACTTGTTCTGCATTGTAACAATATGCAGAACATATGAACACTGTACAGTAAATCATTGTCCTCAATGCTTCTTCCAATCACACAAAATATATTCTACGTTGTCTGACCTTGATCAAAGTTGGCTTGTCTTTCACCGCCTTTGCTTCCTCGATAGCTGCACGAATTTCTTCATAACCAGTGTTACCGTTCTTTACCCAGATTACATGCCACCCAAGACCTTCAAAACGGGCGTCAACGCTCTCAGAGAAAGCAATTTCTGTGTTACCATCAATGGAAATGTGGTTGTCATCATAAAAGGCTATCAGCTTTCCAAGTCCCCAGTGCGCAGCAAGGGAAGAAGCTTCATTTGCAATACCTTCCATTTGACATCCATCTCCGAGGATGACATATCTACAGAGGAGCAATTCCGTTAGTCCAAATCACAATAAATAGTAAATTGAACCCGTGATACAAGAAGAAAAAAATGACGGGCCAAGAAGTTGTCTTACGTGTAGTGGTCAACAACCTCACAATCTGGTTTGTTGTAACGAGCAGCCAAGTGCTTCTCTGCAAGCGCTAAGCCAACTGCATTGGCAACACCTTGACCAAGCGGGCCTATACAAGAGTACATGAAGACATTACGATCAGTTCAAACACAGCTTATGCAAGCAAATGAATAAAAGGTTCAGAATTATTTCCTAACCAGTGGTAACTTCAACACCAGGAGTCTCAAAATTCTCAGGATGACCTGGTGTTTTGCTTCCCCATTGACGGAAACTCCTCAAATCTTCTTCCTGTGAAATTTTTATGTGAACTATTAAGCTACGAAGTATGTGAGTCTCAAATTGTGGTACTATTTTCAGTAAAATGTTTTCACTCCATTCATGAAATTAAAAACAGAAAATGAAAGATACATTAACCATTGGTGAAACAAGAATTACTAGATGACTTTCACAATTGGCGAAACAACAATCAATGCAATTAACGAAAGATTACTAAAGAACCCTATTCTAGAACAAGCAAAAAATAAAAGAAAAAGGATAAACCAAATTAAGAGTACAAGGATAAACCAAATTAAGAGTACACAAGTATGCTCGAAAAGTTAACTAAAACAATAAAGGAGCTCCATAACTAGCTCAAAAGTCTACATTCTACATCCTTTCCCCTCAAACCCAGTCAACATTTCATACCTAAACCCGGTACCCCAGATCATAGAATATAATTTCCAAAGTAAACCATGAAAACAATAAAATCATATTACTTCATGACATACACCACAAAAAAATTAGATGTACATGTCCAGAAATGTATGTGTTGCTTTTTTCAAAAGTAGAAATGAAGGAAATTCTGCAAGAAAAAAAGTAACAAGTGGTAAAAGATTTGACCTTTACGGAGTCATAGCCGGCGAGGTGGAGGAGTGCATACTGGAGCATGCATCCATGGCCGGCGGAGAGCACAAAGCGATCGCGATTGAACCACTTGGGATTCTTGGGGTTATACCTCATGACCTCATCATACAATATGTGGCCCATCGGAGCGCATCCCATGGGTAAACCCGGATGTCCGGAATTGGCCTTCTCGACAGCATCGATGGCCAAGAACCTGATCGTGTTGACGGACTTATCGAGAAGTGTGCTGTCTGTTGTTTTTTCGATTGTCTCTACGGCGGAGGCCCGAACCGGGAGGCTGGTGATGATGGGGGTGCGGCAGCGGAAGACGGCGGCGGTGGCAGTTGAGTTGGTGGATTTGAGGCCGGTAAACTTGGGAAGGGAAAGAGAGTTGGGGGCCATGTGAAGCTCTTGGGCCGATCCATGGCGGCGTGTAGAGGAGCCAGAGAGGGTAGGTGGGGAAACAGTGAGAGAAGAAGAAGATGCCATAGCTCTTTTCTTGTGATCGTCAAACTGTGAAGAAGGGAGAGTTGGTAAATATATATGGGGGCTTGCGATTCTAATTTTCTTTTCTTTTCTTTTATTCTTCTTGAGTTTTTTAAGTTTGACTAATTTGGTATAATTTTCAGATCACTTCATTTTGTGCACTTGCTAAAAGATAGAAATAACCTTCATTTCGAGGAAAATTATTCAAGGATCACAACTAAATAATATGAGCAATTTTCATTTTACTATAAGTCAAACAATAAATTTCACAAGTTCACGTCAATTTTTTTATTTGCTAAAGTGAGATTAAAGTGAGGCAGATGTTCGATTAGAATTTGTGTCGACTCATTTTTTGTAGCAGATAGTATTATTTATTATCTTTTCAAATTTGGGTACCTCCATACAATTCCTTTAACCATATACTCCTAATTTAGATTTAATAAAACCGTATACCTCTTTAGATTCTATTCGGAATAGAACCCATCTTCTTAGTTATATAAATATAACTATTTATTTTAGTTTATACAAAATAATGTTATTTAAGAATAAAACACATGGTTTGGTTTGTGATTAGATTTGATGTGTTAAAGAGATGGGACCCGAGAAAGTAGGTGAGTAGGTTTGAGTTTTTGAATCAAAAATCACAGCCAGCCACCAACCAATTTCAACGGTACAGTGCGTGCATTCCTTTAACTTATTTATTCATAAATTCAGTAATACATTTATATAATTTTCTCAACAGAGACCGGCGTGACCAAACTTCAAAAGGGCTATTTCAGCCTTTGGGATGAAGAATGGTTAAAACAATTGGAAAAAGCTACTCTGACAGTGTTAAAAACCTGGCTTTGGATCCATACTTTTTTTTTTCCCCCTAACTCTCCAATTACTGCATGACACGTGTTATTTGATTTAAAATCTGGATTGAAACCCTATCATTGTTGCACAGCTGAAAACAATTTGGGTAGGTATGAAAAAGCTAATTGAACAGTCATTTTCAGTTTTTGGAGAAAAAGTGGCTGAAAAAACAAGGGATACAGGCTCAATATTTGTCTTTATACGTGCAACAAATGAGTTCGACAAAGTTTCTAAATTTACCTACGATCTTAAGCAAATGCATCATGCAAAATTTCATAAAGGGGCGCCGGTAAGAAATTATTAGAGACGAGACTAATTTATCTATTTAAAGTTTTCATCGATACCTTCAATTCATACACAAGCAAGCACACTTAGTAATTCATAAACCCAATAAAAATGACAATAAAATTCACTAACGATGAAAATTGAAACGATGGATTAAAAAAGAAAGCTGCAGTATAAAAGCTCTAAACCTTCATTTTGTCTTGCAGTCTCTCTATATTTCCACATATTGATGAGTAATATGTAAAACATAAATTAAGATAAGTAATCACGTTATCCAAGAAAAGAACCAAAGTATTCTGCTGCTCGTCTTGCCAAATGAAAGCCTACATCATTTTAACTCGTTTACTGTTTGAAGCACAGTTTCGGATCCCTCTTCCGGTCACGGCATATGGCGCTGATGCTGCTCTCATAGAGGGTGATTTGTCTATATGTGCATATCTTTCATTGCCATTCCAGTACAATATGACCCGATTAGTACAAGCATGTGACCAACTATCGCCTGTTCAGGATGAGTTTCCAACATTTAGAAATACACAAAAACATAGTTGCAGCACAAATTTTAAAAGGTCCCAGTATGAAATCCAACTACCGCGCCAGTCAAGACTTACATAGTTGAGCACTAACTTGCCCACAATCCTTAAACTCGGTTATAAACATGTAGTTACCCAAATCCTTACAGACCAATGATGCTATCCTCCCTCAACTGATGTGTCATGAGACGGGACATACAATCCCCCTCAAATACGTGACAGCATTAACCCAATCTAGATGACATGCAATTGGTAGCCCACTATAGTCAAATTAAAGGAACCAGAACATCTTGAACCTCCAAATGTAATGCACTAACCAACTTATCCAAAATGTTTAAGCCCAAGAAAACTGAAAACCTAATTCAGAAACAACCACAATAAACAGAGACAATTAAAGGACATCATTCCCAAACGAAGGTGGAGCAATATACCTAGAGCCAGAGTTAACTGAAATGAACCTTCTGAATACTTGGTGGTTACTTGATTCAATAGAATTACCTGCAGAATAGATTTCAAAAAATTTTAATCAGTAAAAGTTGGATGGAGGAGATTAAAGCTAGGATAGTTGTTCATTAATAAGCTAAAAAAATCAGTTGTGACATCAAATTCAATAGGCGTGATAGGTAACTATCTTTCATTCAATCATAACAAAGAAGAAGTTGCTCACTGCCAAATTAAACGTCTTTGCAAGTTTCATTAGTTTTAAGGCCATTCCACCAAGTAGTCTAGTTCTAAGAGCCATGTCCTCAAAATCTTGACGGAAGTGGAAAGTAATACTATCGATAACAACGGCCTTAACCTGTGACAGTAGTTAGATGTTAATACGTTCAGAGATATTTTAACCACGAAGCAAATATTTTTGTTCAATTGTTGTCGAAAGCCACAATTTTAAACCCCCAAAAAATTACTATACCTACATCTTTATGCTCTGAGACGAATTTCTCCAAATAATTTATAACAGCAATTTGCTCTGTGTAACTGCAAATACGAAAATAGAATATATTGTCGAGAAAATCCTTAGGGTCCTTCCTATTTTGACAGGCTTGAAAGTCCTTCCGTAGGAAGCTGTTATATTCTTGCATGTCCTCTATGCATGCCTCAGCAATTTGAAAAGCACGTTCGACCATAAAACTGCCTTCTGTATCTAAGCATCACAAAATGTAGTGCTGTAAGCTGAACATTAAGAAAAAAATGGTAAACATAGATGCCAGCAAACATATATGCCAGGCATAAAATATACCTATATAAACTGCCTTTCCTTCAAGGCCACCATAATCAGCTGGAATTTGAACATTTATTGCCAGTTGAATCCTATATATTCCATTATATCTTAGATGCAAAACATAAATAAGTAAAAAACTCGGCTTAAATATGGAACAACACCTACCCCAGTTGTGTTTTACCAATGCCTGGCACTCCACCTGATAAAATCAGAAATTGACATAAGATAAGAATAGACAAAAAAAAATAATAATAATTGATGAGACAATCACATGGAAAAATCGGTGATATAATATTTACTGGTACAAAAAAATGTTGAGTGACTAACCAACTTCAGTAACTTCTTTACAATTAATTCCTCCACCTAGGATGTCATCCAGATCTGAGCAGGATGTTGTAATACGCACAGAAGATTCCTCCTCATGTAGTATATCCCAGGCTGTCTGTGCTCCTAAACAAATGAATTTTGAGAAAGTTAATTATTTGAAACCTAACCTTCTGAACTACATGAAGTGATCGTGTCGACTGATATCAGATGTGTAAGAAGAAAAAAAAAATAAGGCTCTGTTTAAGCCCCATTTTTTGGGAAATAGATTTTGTAATATTGATTCTTTTGGAAAATGATGGTTAAAAAGTAGAAAAAAAATTTGGGTTTAAGAGTAAAATTATTTTACTAAGAGAATGTGGGGTTAAAATGAGTTTTTAGAGAATGGAGCTCAAACAAGGACTAAATTCTGCCCATCTTATGGTCGACAATTATGTCAATCAAAACATCCATAAAATAATTTCCATAGACATAAAAAGGTGTGGAGCATCTGAAATACCAGAATTAATGATAAACAGTGCCAAAACTTCAAAGTATGAAAAACTTTTCAAACATAAATTTATATAAATCATAAATTATAACAAGTTTCCAAATCCAAAAAATTAGATGTAAATATAAAAACTAGAAAATCTCCAAGAAACTAAAGACATATTATCACATCTTTACTTACTCCTAGACTAACTTGAGAATACTCTATGCATATGAAAAATATTAAGGAATGAACCACCAAATTCGGTGAGTAATCCCAACTTTTTCCTTCATTTTCCTGCTTTGTTCAGACTTTTTTCGGCTTTCCCTACCAATTCACTCATAGTCATAACTTGCCTTAAACTAATTTTCGTTGCTGCCGCATCCTCACTTTGTTTTCTTTCACTCTTTGTTTCATTGCATCTTAACGTTCTCATTAAGTTGCACACACATAGTAGGGGCCTAGAGTAAGATAAAGTGCATTCTACAAGGTCATAGTTAACCTTTTTAAAAATAGGAAAACTCAGGTGTAATAGTAATGAAGCTGCACGTTAATGCCACATTATCCAGAAGAGGTAGAATTTGGACGCTTCAAGTTCCTGAAAAGTTTTAAGGCTCTTATAGAGGAGTAGCGGTTAAATGAGGCTGAGAAAGAAAACTTTCCATGTTTATCATGTCAAGCACTGTATTGGATCCAATAAAAATTCTAATGATTGAATTATGCTGATATCAGGAGTTTGCTTCACTAACAAAAAATGGTCATAGTAGCCCATTTTGATGTAATAGAAAGTGCAAAACTTTACAGGAGTAAAAAGGGCAATAATTTTTTAAGTTCATGACATTCGACCAAATAGTTTATCTAATTGTGAACTTGAAGTTGGAACCTTTGAAAGATGTAGCTCTGTCAAAGAGGATAAGGGGAAAAATATATTGCAATTTGTATCATCTTGTTTGTTTGTATGGTAAAATTTGTTACTAATAACCATGATCCACAAATTGTCTTCCCTATTTCCCTGGTTTGCATAACATTTCACTTTTGGATACGCAGTATGCATGCATGTACATAGGTAGATAGGTAGGTAGGTAGATAGATAGATAGATAGATAGATAGATAGATAGAGAGAGAGAGAGAGAGAGAGAGAGAGAGAGAGAGAGAGAGAGAGAGAGAGAAATTCGTGATATACTATTTCTCACAAAGATAATAACAACTGAAATGTAAGCAAAAAATAATCATTAACAAAACAAAAATGATAACTTAGAGCTCAAAAACAAATTGCAGTTAGAACGGAAAAAGCTAAGAATTCATCAATAACAGAACTATCTACCATTATTAAAAAAATTAGAGCATACAAAGACAGTCACAACTAATATAACAAAGTAATAATTGTTACAGGCGCTCCAGCTTGAATCAATGACCTAGACAACCATCCCTTGGGCCAAATTTTATTGATTGGCTACATATTCCTTATGCATCACCATTAAGAACTTGATTTCTTTTCTGAGAACTATTATTCATTTGTAAGACTTATTAGTCTCGTATGTATCACACAAACAATGCCAAAAAATTGTACTACATAAATGAAGGGGCATAAAAAGGGAGAAATACAGAGTTGAATGTAGACAGAAAATCCAATAGCTAAAAAATAAACTTCTAAGTAGTACTTTATTCGCTTTTCCAGCGCTCTGATACACAATAAATGAGGCTATGGCACTATTCTGTACTAGATGTTTTGACAATTATGACAAGTATACTCCTAAATTTTCAAATGTTCACCTTATGGCTTATACTACAAAAATCTCAATTTTCGGGTTTCAACTTACAGTCATCCGAGTTATGAATCAACATTGCTTAAATAATAAACCATAGCAGAAGAAGAGGGAATGTATATGTACCATTAACAATAGCACAAGCTCCAATATCAGTTATGTCTAACCCACTCCTCCGCGACGCTACTTTCAGTATTTCAAGGGCCTCATTTTCCGAAATTTTCAAATCTAGTCAAGAAAACATTAACAGAGTTAATTACACAATAAAATGGGCAACAATAAAGCAAGTTACCACCACTAAAGCCATTGTCATAATCCAATTTGATATAAACACCCAGAAACAAGTATTTATACCTTGAGCGAGGCGAGAAGGAGAGACGGAGGAGAGTGAAGAGAGAGAAGTATAGCCTGATGATATCAGCTTTCCTCTTTGCGAAGCTGAAATTGGTAGGCTCGACACTTCCATGGCCGATTCCTCAGCGTGTGTGTACGCGCGCGTTTGCGTGACAGAGAGTTGAAAAGAACCTATGACTTACCATTCGCGCGCTTTACATTTTGGGGGAGAAATAGAAATCGCAGGAGGTACAATCCGGATCCGGAATTGGGGTCCCGTTTTTTACGTGATCCAAATACATATGGGCAGTAAGCTGGCCCGTCTTAGGTTAGGGTGGCGAAAGGATCAAATCGCTTTACATCTTGGACTTGTCTTGATTCGGTAGGAGCTTATTTTGAATTGAGTCATGGATCGAGCTGGACACTCTTTGTCATAAAAATCATTAAATTTTAATTAAAAAAATTCTTTAACATTTTTTTTTCTATTCTTTCATCCAATTTTTTATGAAAATTATCAATTTGTAATTAAATTTTATTAGAGATTAACAAAAATAATAAAGGAGGTGATGCTACCAAAAAATAGTATCTGAAAAATCTTTAACTTGATGATTGAACTCCGAACTTTGATGAACACGAACGGCCTTCGAATACTTGCAACAAAAGTAACGAGATGTGTGTTCGTCGCCCCTCCGATACTTAAGTTAGATAGAAAATTTAGCACGTGAGGCTATAAATTGAAAATAATGAAAAACGTACCTCAAGAATGAGCCTATGTTGTGTATTTATAGGTGTTAAGGATAGAGTCGTAGAAGGACTTATCCTTCTGTGGTCTTTATCCTCGTAGGATAAGGAGTTAGTATTTCATTCCAAGTGTTCAAACATTGTTTGAATCGAAGAAGGAGTCAAACATGGTAAGGATTGTAGCTTAAGTAGAATTAGTGCACTCATAGGTCATTAAGTAGTGCGTGGCGAGTTGACAAACAAACCTCGACTTCAGAGGCTCGACCTTGATTTCATAGTTTGGGGTGATGTCAAGGTCGGGGTTAAGGGATCGAGTTCGGGATTACAAGATCTGGGGTCATCACAGCCCTCGTGCATCGAGTTAGTAGATTTTCGTCCAAGCATGATCTACGAGTAAAGATGTAAAGGCATAGATGTCCAGGCGTCTTTCTACGTGTCAGGCGTTCAACGAGATGTCAGAGAACGACCTTAGATGACTGCCACGTGCAGTGTCAGGTCACGATCTTGGATGACCGCCACGTGTCTTCGTTCAAAGGCCAGGATGAATAGACCGTTGACATTCCAAAGACCCCTATAAATAGTCCCCACATTTCACTTTCACTTTTCACTCTTCATTAAAAGAAAGCTTGAGCTCGGGGATAGTGGGTTGGTGAGCGATCATCCAAAAAAGGTAAGAGTTCGGGCCTTTAAGTTTTAATTATTTGTTTTAGTATTATGTCGAGTAGTAGTAGTAGTACGGGGTCGAGTAAGAGTGATAGTAGCTGTCCATCTAGAGCCTCGAACCATAGTGATAAACCGAGGACGTAGGTACATCCCTGATCCCCATGGCCATTCCTGTTAGTTCTCATACTAACGAATTGGTCTACCATAAAGAACCGACTAGGTATAAGGAACATGTGATCATTAAGATAGCGAGAGAGTTCAGGGTTATGCCCATTTGTGATGTGAGAGCCCCAGGGCCTACTGAGACCGTGTTAGGAGCTCGAGAAGGAGAGATGACCTTTTTTATAGTCGCTCTTAAGGTCGGGCTTAGGTGGCCCCTTCACCCATTCTTCATCCATTTCCTGACCTCGTACTATTTATACCCTGGCCAACTAGCCCCGAACGGTTGGAGGTTGCTGGTATACTTCTTTATATTATGTAGATGTCTCGAGATCGAGCCTAGACTCGATCTCTTACGAATGGTCTATGATATGAAATTCTCCCCGGGGTATAACTGTTTCGTTTACTTATCCACAAATGGGGGGTTTAGAACACCTGAAACACCGAGCTCTCTTCGGGGTTGGAAGGAAAGATTCTTTTTTGTGAGGCCTCAAGACCATGACCATCCTTTTAGCCTGAAGTGGGAAGTTCTTGATAAGGATAGATTCAACGAAGGTCAGGCCTATTTTGAGGTTTTAGAGAGAGATAGGCTGCGGTTTGTGAATCACGATCCTTTGGTAGAGAAGATCAACTATCTACTCGAGGATGACACCCTCGACCTTGCCAACGTGAAAGGCCTCGAGGGTATGATTTTTCTCTTCTTTTTTCTTTTTCTTTTTTGTGTAATGTTGCGATTTCATGCCTAAACATCGATCTATAGTTTGAGCTAATGCCTTTGTTATTGCTATTTGCAGAACTTGAAATGTCTTTCAATCCATCCGCACTCTTAGATAACGCACAGCAGAGGGCAAGGGGCCCGAAGTACAAAACCCCAACAAATACCCTATCCAAAGGGAAAAAAGGGGCAGGGGAGACTGCCTGACCAACCCCAACTAGCATGGGGCAGAGCTCAAAAAGCCTAACCCCTCCAAGTAAGCCCGCGTCTCAGCAGCCAGCTTGGGCTCGTACTCCCTGTTATGGGTCGGACCTCCTTGCTGATGACGACGACCAGATGCCTACTAAGTCACTCGAGGAGTATGCTAAGTGTGCTCTTATCCAGGGCAATGTCGACAAGTATGAGAAGGAGGTCGACTTAAATGAGGGAGTTCGGACCCTCGAGCTCCTTACCCTGAAGGTTTGCTTTTAATATGGTTGCTTCTACTATCGTTGATAAGTTTTTGTCCTCAACCTGACTTCAGGTATAACACTTGTTTTTATAGACACTAAGTGTAGCTCGAGGTTTGGGGCTCAGGGGCTTGAATTCCTCGACTCAGATAGCCGAGCTCGAGGCCAAAAGCGAGATGCTTGCAAGAGGGCCCACGAGCTCAAAAGGGCCTTGGATATGGGCAACACGGACCTGAAGAAGGCTAAGGACGAGGTCAGGGTGGCAAGGGAAAAGGTTGAGGAGGCGAAGATCGAGCTCCTTCAATCCCAGAGTGCTTTTGAGGAGGAGCTGGTGAAAGCTCGGGTAGAGGCTAGAACTCAAGCCATCGAGGAGTTCAAGCAGTTTGATGAGTTTAGTACTCTTCTAGGCTAGTACGGGATTGGCTCGTATTACTACCAGCTTCGACTAGCTCGTTCATTCCTCCGGACCAAACTCCCTGAAGACTTGAAGCCCGTGGTCGAGGAGCTAAAGACTGTGAATGAGCTAGCCAAGGACCTCGAGCTTTCTTCCTCAGAGGCCAATGGAGATGATGACGACGACGATGCTGGGACCCCTGACCATGGAGGCGGGAGTGACCCCGTCGATCTAGATTAGGCCCTCCCCCAACCCCGAGATAGACATTTTTGTAACTTTTCTTTTTGCTGATGTACTTTTCTCGACCCGGGCTTATGAATTTGATTTTTTGCTAATGTATATTGCTCGAACTGGGCTTCAATCTTTGAAAGGTTTTTTTTTTGTGTTATCAGTTCATGCAACTTGCTTTTGTCTCGAGATCGTGCACGTTTTCTATGTTCGTGTGTGGATGTTGTATTTTTGAATTCGAGCTGTTATAATTGTTAAAAGTTCGATCGCATGTCGCAACCAATTAGCTCGAATATTGACGTCCATAGCCTGAGTGTGTGTTAAGAGTTCGAGAGTATGTTTAGACAATACTGATCATTGAAGCTATGGACAGATCGATCCTTTTACTTTAAAAATTGGGCTTCAATTTCAAAGTTTGGAGATGTATTGTTATGTTAGGGGTTAACGAGTTCGAGTACTAGTGTTGGGTATTGATTTTTCAATTTACTATATCGAGGGGGACCCAATGGGTCGCTATATCTTCATTCCTTTGTGGATAAGGTCGGGCATGGTTACATGAGGTACAGTTATTTTATGCCTTGATCTCGATCTCAAAATTATTTGTTGGGAGGACATTTTGGGATCGATGAGGTCGGGGCCTATCATGCTCGACCTGTTGCCATTTGAGGTCATGTGTTTGGTACAGTTATTTCATGCCCCGATCTTGATCTCAAAATTCATTGTTGGGGGACATTTTGGGATCGAAGAGGTCGGGGCCCTTCATGCTTGACCTGTTGTCATTTGAGGTCATGTGTTTGGTTCTATTGGTCGAGTGCTAGCTACATGCGTGGAGCACGGCCTTACGCTAATTTAGTTAAGGTATTAGCTGCATGCGCGTAGCACGATCTTATGATAATTTTGTAAAGGTATTAGTTGCATGCGCGGAGCACGGCCTTATGTTAATTTTGTAAAGGTATTAGCTGTATGCGCGGAGTATGGTCTTACGCTAATTTTGTAAAGGTATTAGCTGCATGAGTGGAGCACGGCCTTATGCTAATTTGGTTAAGGTATTAGCTGCATGTACGGAGCATGGCCTTACGCTAATTTGGCTAATAGGGAAGCAATATCGTAAAGAAAATTCCCTGTATCATTAAAAGGGCTCAAGGGCATTAATACCCGAGCTTATTCAAGCATGAGCTGTCAGGGCATTAGAGCCCAAAAAGTAAAAATGAAATTAAACAAACATAAAGTAGGCATGCAAGCCTTAAAAAGGGAAAAATTATAGCTATAGCTAGTTACTTGTAATAAATTTTTAGACTATCGACGTTCCATGGCCTCAGGAGCGGCTTCGTCGATATGTCTCTGAGGTTATAAGCTCCACCTTTTAGTTTTCTTATGACCTCGAAGGGTCCTTCTCATGTTGGTCCGAGCTTTTCTGGTTGGTGTCCGGCAGCTTCTGCTTTTTTAAGGACAAGATCGTTAGCTCTGAACCTTCTCATATGGACCTTATTGTTAAAGTATTTCACCATTCTGTTCTGATAACTTGCAGCTCTAAGTGAGGCTTGCTCTCTTACCTCTTCAATCAAGTCAAGGTGCTCAGTAGTTTGTCTCTCCCTATTCATCTCGAGCTTCCTTATTGTGGGGAGGCTGACCTCGATCGGGATGGTAGCCTCAAGTCCAAAGGCAAGCATGAAAGAAATCTCACCAGTTGCTGTCTTGTGCGAAGTCCTATATGCCTACAGTATAGAAGGCAGTACATCAGGCCAGTCACCTCTGGCATCCCCTATTCTTGTTCGAAGGTCCTGCAGTACGATCTGATTAGTTACTTCGGCAAGCCCATTACTTTGTAGATGTGATACCGAGGTCAAATGATGATCAATCCCATGGTGGGCATAGAAGTTTTTAAACTGTGGATTGTCAAATTGCCTTCCATTGTCTGTGATGAGGACTTTCGGTATTCCAAACCTACATATGACAGACTTCCATATGAATGATCTGAGCTTCGGCTTAGAAATTGTTGCTAGTTGTTCAGCCTCTACCTACTTTGTGAAATGCTCTACTGCCACAGTTACAAACTTTATTTGTCCTTGGGCCAAGGAGAACGGCCCAAGAATGTCGACTCCCCATTTTTCGAAAGGAGCTAAGTAATGAATAGAAGTTAGCTCCTCTGCAGGAGCATGTATGATGTTGCCAAACTTTTGGCACTTGTCGTATTTTCGAACATAATCTGCAGCATCTTTCTTCAAACTTGGCCAGTAGTACCCATACCTTATTAACTTATAGGCAAGAGCTCGGGCTCCTTGGTGATTTTTGCAAATGTCTTCATGAACTTCAGTTAAGGCTTGCAGAGACTCGGACAGTTTGAGACATCTTAAATAAGGGAGTGTAAAACTTCTGCGGAACAGGACTCCTTCAATTAGGCAATATCTAGCAGGTCTATACTGAACGCTTCTAGCAAGTTGAGGGTCTGCAGGTAGGTTGCCATTACTTATGTAATCAGCTATTGGATCCACCCAGGATGACTCACGGTCGATGTCCATGACACTTGGCTTTTGAGCTATGCTGGGTTCTACGACTATCTTGACGTGCAAGATTCTATCGAGTCCGTCCATACCCATAAAGACGAGTCTGGATGATGCATCAGCTTTGACGTTATCAGCCCTAGCTACCTTCAGGATTTCACAACTTACGAATTGCCTTTGAAGGTCATGCACTTTCAGACAGTATAAGCTCATCTTCTTGTATTTTCCTTCGAAATATCCCTCGATTTGCCCGACTACTAGCTATGAGTGACTAAAAACTTTGACATGCTCCAACTCGAGACTTTTTGCAAGTTCCAAGGCTATGATAATGGCTTCATACTCTGCTTCATTGTTGGTGGCGTCAAATTCAAATCTGAGCACACATTGTATTTCTGTAGCCTTGTCTGGGCTGGTGATGATGACGCCGGCCCCCGAGCTCAAGCTATTGGATGCTCCATCTACAAAGATCTCCCATCTTTTAAAGGTCATGCTCAGGTCGTTATCCTGTGTTGCCGGGTTCTTCGGAGTGAGTTCTGCTATAAAGTCAGCCAAAGCTTGAGCTTTGATTGCGAGTCGCGGCTTGAACTCTATGTCAAATTTGCCAAGTTCAATTGTCTATCTCAACAGTCTTCCTGAGATGTCCGACTTCTGGAGTATGTGTCTAAGAGGTTGGTTGGTGAGTACCACAATTGGATATGATTGAAAGTATGGCCTCAACTTCCTGGCAGCTATTACCAAAGCAAGGGCCAGCTGTTCTGCAAGTGTGTATTGTGTTTCTGCATCAAGGAGTACTTTACTCACATAACAAACAGGCTCCTGAACTCTTTCCTTCTCCTTTACCAAGACTCCACTTACTGTATTCTAGGAAACGACCGAGTATAATAGCAACGTGTCATCGGGTTCGGGTTTGGTAAGGACTGGAGGTGTTGCTAGTGTCTGTTTGAGCTCCCGAAAAGCTAAGTTGCATTTCTCATTCCAGTCAAAGCTTCTATTTCTCCTAAGTAGTTTGAAGAAGGGGAAACACTTGTCCACTGACCGAGAAACAAACTTGTTTAGAGCTGCTATGCGACCTGTCAACCTCTGAATGTCCCTTTTGCATTTAGGGGCCTCCATTTTTATCAGAGCTTGGATTTTATTAGAGTTCACCTCTATTCCTCTATGCCTGATCATAAAACCTAAGAACTTTCCAGATGCCACCCCAAACACACACTTCGCAAGGCTGAGCTTCATGTTGTATCTTCGTAACGTGGCAAACACTTTCTCAAGATCAGAGACATGACTATTCACCTGTTTGCTTTTAACCACCATATCATCCACGTATGCTTGAACCGTTTTCCCAATTAATTCGGCGAAGATCTTGTTTACCAACTTTTAATACGTTGCTCCAGCATTCTTGAGTCCAAAGGGCATGACCCTGTAATAATAGATGGCTGAGTCTACCATGAATGAGGTCTTCTCTTGATCTTCTTCCGCCATAAGTATTTGGTGATACCCCAAAAAAGCATCCAAGAAGTTGTACAGCATATGACCTGACGTGCTGTCCACAAGGTTGTCAATTTGAGGTAGAGGATAACTGTCTTTGGGACATGCTTTATTTAGATCCGTGAAGTCGATGCAGACTCGCCATTTCCCGTAAGCTTTCTTGACCGGAACTACATTAGCAAGCCAATCGGGATATTGTACCTCCCGAATGAACTGTGTGTTAACAAGTTTGGCAATCTCTTTCTTTATGACCTCTCGTCTTTTGGGTTCAAATTGCATTTTCCTTTGCTTCACAAGTCTTGCCTCTAGGCTTAAATTGAGTCTGTGCATCATAACCTCTGGGTCAATTCCAGGCATGTCCTCAACATTCCAAGCGAATACATCACTGTTACGGGAGAGACAATTCAGCAGCTCAGCCATGACTGCTGTATTCAAATCCTGTCCAACCGTCATTTTCCTGCCAGGCTCGAGCTCGACCTCTTCCAATCCTTCCACTGGAGACAATGTGTCATGATTCTTGTGCTCGAGCTCGACCTCCGTAACTTGCATGACATCACTCTTGATTCTTTGAACACTAGTCACATAGCACTATCATGCCACTGTTTGGCTACCTCAAACTACCCCGACTCCACTACTTCTAGGAAATTTCATTGCCAAGTGACAAGTTGAGACAATAGCTCGACTTCTGTTGAGCAATGGTCGTCCCAGTATGGTGATCTGCGTCACCTGTTTACCTTATATCCCCAATGTTAAATGCAACCCGACGATACCTTCCAGGGTGATGACTCCACCTCCAAATCCTTGGAGAGGTGTTTTCACAGGCTTGAGCTACTCCGATGAGATCCCCATTTGAACAAAGGCTTCATGAGATAGTACATTAGCTGTACTTTCGTTGTCTACCAGGATTCTCTTGACTTTAAAGTTGACGATGATGGCTGATATGACCAGAGCATCATCATTAGGGAATGCTATGCCTTCCAAGTCCTCTGTTCCAAAAGTGATGTCCTCTGTACAATAAAGATCTGACCTTGAGATGATTAGAGGCTGCTTGGCATATTGTTTACGCTCGCTACTAGAATCTTCCCCCAAGCTGTTCCTTCAACAATGATATTGATAGTACCTGCAGTTGGTTGCTTGCTTGTTTCCCCGACCCTCTGGACCCTTGTCTCTGTTCTGATTATTCCTTGGGTGCTTGTCATCGCTAACGTAAGAGTCCAAAAATTCCCTTTTTATAAGAGCTTCAATCTCCTACTTCAAAGCCAAACAGTCTTTCGTTGTATGTCCATGATTTTGATGGAAATCACAGTACTTACTCTTATCACAAGTATCGGGGGAAACCGCAATCTCGGAGGCCACTTCAGTTCCCTCAAATCCTTGATCTCCATCAGAATGTTGGACTTCGAGGTGTTGAAACGGGTAAAGGATGTTGAGGAGAGGTCCTGCCTTGGCTTGACCCAAGGTGTATCTTGTCTCAAATTGGACTCATGCGGCCTTTTTTGATCCGACCTTCCTGATGAGGAAATTTCTCTTTTTGGGGCCATTATTTCTTCCATATTGATGTACTTCTCAGCTTGTGTGAGTAGCTCAGTGACTGACTTTGGCGGGGTCTTAGAGAAGGACATCTTGAATGCTTTACATTTAATGGCGTATGTCAAAGCTGAGACTGCAGCGGTGATATGTAGATTGGGGATCTAAAGCCTTTCTTTATTGAACCCGGCCATGGAACTGCCTAGTGTCTCATTGGGTCCTTGACGCATCTGCGTGAGTGATGAGGCTGTCTTTCTGATTTGCTTGCTGCTCGCAAAGAAAGCGAAGAACTTATCAGCCAAATCTAAGAAGGAGATGATAGAGTTCGGTTCTAATGTGGAAAACCAATCTCTAGCTACGTTTGTGAGGGTCTGAGGGAATGCCTTGCACATTACTGCATCTGGTGCAACCTATAAGTTCATGATATCCGTGTACACATTGAGATGATTAATGGGGTCGGTTGTCCCATCGTAATCTTTTATCTGAGGATACTTGAACCTATCGGGGAGAGGGTGCGAGAGAACTTTCGGAGTGAATGGCGTATTAGGCGTAAACCCTATTGCTGCACAAGTATTTTGTTGCATACCTGCCGCTATACCCTTGAATAATTCTAGCAAGTTCAGCGGAGTCCACTGTAACGGACCTTGAACCTGAAGCCACTTGCGGTGCACCTGAAGTTCAAACCCCGCCATCATCATGAGCTGTAAAACAGGATTCGAGCCCGGGCATCTGCCATAAAACCACCTTCGGGGGTTGGGATATGCGACGGGTTCGAATTTCTCTGGCTTAATAATTGGGTTAATACGGCAACCTGATGACGAAGTTCCTCAAAAGCTTCAACGGTAACAACAACTTGAGAAGGTGTTGGCATTTTCGAAGACTCTTCTTAAGGGACATGACATTCCTCAAGAGAATGAGGGTTGTCCGGGACGGACGAGCTTGCTGAAGAAAGACCTGAACGTATATTGACCATGGCTTTTGGTAGCGTTTCCCATAGACGGTGTCAATGATACTACCAAAAAATAGTACCTGAAGGATCTTGAACTTGATGATTGAACTTCGAACTTTGATGAACACTAACGGCCTTCGAATACCTGCAACAAAGGCAATGAAATGTGTGCTCGCCACCCCTCCGATACTTAAGCTAGATAGGAAATTTAGTGCGTGAGGCTATAAACTGGAAATAATGAAAAAAGTACCTCAAGAATGCGCCCGAGTTGTGTATTTATAGGTGTTAATGATAGAGTCCTAGAAGGACTTATCCTTGTGTGGTCCTTATCCTCATAGGATAAGGAGTTAGTGTTTCATTCCAGGTGTTCAAATATTGTTTGAGTCGAAGAATGAGTCAAATAGAGTAAGGATTGTGGCTTAAGTAGAATTAGTGCACTCATAGGTCGTTAAGTATTGCGTGGCGAGTTGACAAACAAATCCTGACCTCAGAGGCCCGACCTTGATTTCGTAGTTTGGGGTGATGTTAAGGTCGGGGTTAAGGGATCGAGTTCGGGATTACAAGATCTGGAGTCATCGGGACGAAAAAAAAAAAAAAAACTGATTTGCAGTTAGATTTTGGAATACGTTTAGTTTTTAAAGGTCGTGAACATTAAACAAGTGTACAAGGGAAAAGAATGTAGTCTAAAGACTATAAGCAATGAAATTTTGACTTTTTTTATTCTTGAGATAGCTAAACATTGATTGCGCTTTTTTCCAATCCCGTCATACACACCCAAAAAAAAAAAAAGGCTACACGTAAAAGCTTTTTCACAAAAGCTCTACAGAAATTTAAAAAAGGTGACGTGTTGCCTTGTAGTGAAAGAACAAAGTAAAGGACCTGTTGTCAGAAAAAGGAAAGGATGGCTACTTGGAGGGAATTGTTTATAAATTCAATAAATTATTTATATTTTTATCTTAATTTTCTGGCTCATTAGCTCATTACGAAATATCAAACGAATTCGAAATATTACAATATTAATATTATTTTAAAGTACTCACGGCCTAGTATTTCACGTCATTAACGGGGCACGAAACGGTCAATCGTAGCAAATATTACTGGGCGTCAAAGTAGGTCGTACCAAACTAATATTTCAAGAATTTTAATAACAAGCTAATTTTGAAAATTTTTCGACGATTGTATGCTAGTCGAATCCATAAATCTTCTATATTCTCTTGAAACTCATTTTGAGAATTATATCATAAACATATCGAATGATTTAAAAAAATATCGAAAATAGTTAAACGTACGTCAAACGTATGTGTCAAAAAGATACGTATAACTCGTCTTTTTAAAAAAAAAAAATCAATTATTTTATCAATGTTTATTATTTTTGTATGACAAATTTCTCAATATAATTTATATCATTTTATTAAGAAATTTTTATGTGTGGTATAACGTCAATTTTTTTTTGACGTAAAAATTTCTGAACGAATTTTTATAATCATTAATGGTCAAATTTCTAATAAATGTTTTTTTTTAATGTCAAATTTTATATCATTTTGTCTTTTTTTTTTGACATAAAAAATTTCTAATAATTTTTTTTATGGATGTCAAATTATTTTTTTTCATCTTTATTATATAAAATTTATATATGGTATGACGTCAAATTTATTTTTTTTGATGTAAAAATTCCTAATAAAATTTTTATAATCAAGATAAAAAAAAATTAGTTTGACGTCCATAAAAAAAAAAAATTATTAGAAATTTTTTACATTCAAAAAAAAAATAAAACAAAATGATGTAAAATTTGACATCCAAAAACACCATTTATTAGAAATTTGACGTCCAAAAAACAAAGAAAAAAAAACATTAATGATTATAAAAATTTTATTAGAAATTTTTTCATCCAAAATTTTTTTTTTGATGTCATACCAATTCTTAATAAAATCAATTCTAAATAAAATGATGTAAATTATATTGAGAAATTTGTCGCGCAAAAATAATAAACATTAGTAAAATAATTGATTTTAAAAAAAAGACGAGTTATGCGTCTCTTTTTTATACACACATTTAAAGTACGTTTAATTATTTTCAATATTCATTTAGATCATTCAATATATTTTTGTCATAGTTCTCAAAATGAGTTTCAACAAAATATAGAAGATTTATGGATTCAACTAGCGTACAATTGTCGAAATTTTTTTAAAGTAGCTTGTTATCGAAATTTTCGAAATATTAGTTTGGAACAACCTACTTTCACGCCCCGTAACATTTGCAACAATTGGTCATTTCGTGCCCCGTTAACGACGTGAAATATTAGGCCGTGAGTACTTTAAAATGATATTAAAAATGTAATATTTCGATTTCGTTTGATATTTCATAATGAGCCCGAAAATTAAGATAAAAAAATAAGTAATTTATTGAATTTATAAACAATTCCTTCCAAGTAGCCGTCCTTTCCTTTTTCTGCCAACAGTTCCTTTCCTTTTTCCTTTCACCAAATGGCGACACGTCACCTCTTTTCGAATTTCTGTAGAGCTTCTGTACGTATAGCTTTTTATAGCTTTATATGTCTAGATAAGATTTATTGTTTATATGTTTTCATTTTATTACCTTATAAGCGTTGGTCATGTTATCTAGTATCTGTAGATGTAATCAGGCCTTTGTCTTGTAAGTTGTAACTGTTTCAAAAATAAAAAATATATATATATATATTTGAACTGAATTGTCTATATAACTTATAAAATAAAAAAATGTGTAGTAGTAGTATATTCCTTCAACTATATTGACAAGGCAATGATATTGAAATTTTTTAATTGTTTATTTTTTGTTTGTGCATATAGGATGTGAAAAATAAATCACAAGATCGGGAAATCCAAAATCTTAGGGGGTGTTCCCTTTGCCATTTTTCAGCCGTTTTCTTTTTTAGTTTTCGAAAACACCCAAAACGTGTTTGGTACATCATTTTCGAAAATATATTTTTAAAAATAAGAAAAAATTTATAACTGAAAATGAAAAATTGTTTTTTTTCGTTTTGAATGTTTTTAATTCAAAATGCCAAAACACTCAAAACACGCTAAAAAATCCGCTACAGTAAAATTCCAATTAAAACAGCAAAACTTTGCCATTTTCTCACGATTCCTCTCTCCTCTCTCACTTCACTCGACGCGTTCTCCAATAAACCGCACGACGACGTCTTCCGTCCGGCGACATCCTCCACTCCGATGAGGTCCTACAATACGGCGAGCAGGTACGTAATCTTCCTCAAAACTTGATTGGAAGCCCTTTTTTTTTTTTGGTATTTTAGGGCATCTTGTTCTTGCTTTCACACTTTCTAAAATCAGAATCAAGAAGGGGTTTCGCCCAATTTCAAGCTAATGTTATTTTTGCTTAAAAATCTGTCAGAAGAAGTTGATTACAGTACTTTTAGTATTTTTTATTAGGTAATGTAGTAATTTCAGTATATGCTTTAGTCAAATAGTAAATAATGAATATTATTATTTTTTTAAGGCATTTATGATTTTTTCCCTTTGTGTTAAGGTTTATTGTTGAGATGTGTTTCTGTTTGGGTTTGGGTTTGGGTTTGGGTTTGGGTTTGGGTTGTTATTTGAGGTTTAAGCTTGCGCTTCAATTAGGGGATCGGGTTCACGATTGGGACTGTGCTTTGGTTTGGTTGGGTTTGGGTTTAGAATTGTCCTTGTGAAACTGATAATCTTGCATCTTTTTAATTTATTGGCCGTCCGTCGGATTTTGGGCTTATTTAACGATTGCTTAAGTATTATAAAGTTATGGGAATTCATCGAGGATAAATTGATTTAATATTGCCTTGCATCGTTCTTAACTTGTAGATGATGAGTGTAGTGACTGATGAATTTTATTGTGCAAAATTGCCAATTTTGTTGGTCTCTCCTTTAGGTTGCTGAGTAATGGCTTAGATATGGTTAGAGCTTAAAATATATCCATAAGTTTGGATTTGTTTCAGCCTTTATTTAACCATGACTTTGACTATTGTTTATTTAGATTCACGATAGAGATACTTATCTGGAGCTTTAAAGCTTATGAGAGTATGTGACTGTATACAGACTCTGCAGATTGGACGGAAAAGATGAAGGGAAAATTGGAAAACTATTCATCCAAGTGTCTATTTTTTAGCTGAAAGCATTGCAACTGCTCTCTCATTGGGAAAGTTTATTTGCATGTTCTGCTCCTCTGAGTTCCTCTTCTGGAGCTTCTAGTGCTATAAAATTATAATATGAAGGCAACTTAGATTGATTGATTTGCCTTTTTCTTGTCATTCTAGCTAAAAAAAATATGCATGCCAAAAGGAAGCATGTTTTCCTCATCGTAAGGTTTACGTCAATTAGTTAAGAAGTTTTCATGGTGTAACTATGGCCGAATCCTTTCTATGGGGGCATGATTTGGATTGAAACTTATTCTGCTGGGATCTTTTGTTTGATGACCAGATTATTGTTTTCATCTCTTTCTGTCATTTAATCGTCGTGTCAGACAATTTCGAATAACTTTAGGCTATTACTGGGATATGTTTTAGAGGGCTATTATGTTTAGGTTTGGTGAACAAGAATTATGGTAATGTTCGCCTATAATGTTCACCAATGCAGATGTTCAATAACAGTGGGTCAGTTAGTTTTGGCAGTGGGCTGGAGAAATTTTGTCACCCCACGTTATAACAAGTCAAACCAATTTGGAGGCATGAAATATTCAACTCGTACGAGAACTAATAGTACTGTGTAGCACTAAGAAAGAAAAATAATCTAAATTTCTGTTCATTATTCTTATTCTATTATTCTATTGCATCTCATCCAATACAATGTACAAGAATTATGAGCTGATGAATTTTAATGCATTACTGAATCAGTTTTCTTTCCTTGTGATGTCAACTTATTTGATTTTCTATATGGAATTTGTGGTTATATTTTGGTTAAGTGGTTAATAATTATTTATTATCTTCATTAGAGAACATAGGTGGTCATAGTGGTAAGAATATGGAAACAATGTCTTGGTCCGATCAGAACGAACACGTTTTTATCGGAATACTTTACGATAACGTGAAAGCAGGGAAGTTGCATTGTTCTACGTTCACAAAAGACGATTGGGGCAAGATCAATCAAGAGATGATTGTTGCCACAAAATCAGATTACGGGATAGAGAGATTGACGGGTAAGTGGAATCGTTTACGTAAGGTACATCGCTTGTTCTCTTACCGTTTAGGGCATACGGGTGTTACATGGGATCCAAATATACCAACCAAGTGAATGCTACAGAAGAAGTTTGGAAACATTTTTTTACGGTATGTGTCGTAAAAGAAAATTTTTAGCATTACTTATTTATGATATCATTTTTTGTTTAACATTTTGCTTCACTATTAATGTAAGCTTTTTTTTATATTGTAGATAAACAAGAGCGACCATAAGACATTTAGGAGGGAAGGATGTAAGCATTACGAATTGCTTGCAGAGATTTTTAGCGGGACTACAGCTATTGGAGGTCTAGGCCATGCTTCTACTTAGCTTCCTCCAACTTCAGAGGCAGAAAGACGGCTAGAAGATGAGTTTTTGAGCAGGGGAGTGCATGTACATGTGGAGAATGATGACGATGAAGTTTCAAATATTCGTCGACGTGATGATGCTATACCTAACAAACGTCGACGTAAGGAACCCAAAATCGGTAAAGGAGAAAAACTTGAGGAATTTATGACTCAATGGTCATCTACTGTTAGTATGAGGAATGAGGAAACAGAACTAAGGATTCTATACATGAAAGAAAAGCTTGCACACATCCAAGAAAAATCATCTAATCACGAGGGCGCTAGTGAAGTCACTAGTCCATATCCTTATTCAAATATGGCGTGTTTGAACATCTTAAACAACATGGAAGGAGTGTGTAACGAGGTTTATATAAAAGCAATAAAGGCTTTTAAGGATCTAGATTTCAGAATGACATTTATAATGATGCCAGAAATTAGGAGAGGACTTATCTTGGAACTTCTTTGATTTGCCTAATTGGTCGGATTGAGTATTTTGAACTTATAATGTATGATTATGTTCTTTTTATATATTGACTATGAACTTTGTAATTTCAACATTTACTAGTAGTTTTATTTTTATCAATGTAGATTTTGGTATTTATATTTGTTGGAGTGTTTTTATAAATGATTATGGTAAGTACATAGATGATATGAGTGACAATGATTAATTATGTATGAATGATTTTGATAGGATTGGTGGAGATATACAATGATTTCTTCCTTTTTTTTTTTTTTTTACCAACTTTTAAATTTTATATTTTTGATCATATATTAGCTTAAAATTGACATGTTTTACTAAAAAATTAAATTAATTGAAAAAAATTTATTAATTGATAAATTTTACAACGATTCCTATTTTTTCTCTATAAATTCATTATTTATTATTTTATCTTTGTTGCAAGAAAAAATAGTAAATTTACTAAGTTTAAAATATATATTATCTAGTAATATATTAATCTAAAATTATTTTGTTTTACTAAATAATCAAGTTAATTGAATAAATGTCATAAAACAATTTTTAAAAATTTTAAACCAAACGTATTTTCTAGTTTTTTGTTTTGAAAAATCGTTTTTCAAAATGATAAACTAAACACGTTTTTTATAATTCGAAAGTAGTCTCTCAAAACAAAAAACATTTTCTGTTTTTAAAAATGAAAACAGAAAACAAAAACGCAAACCAACCGCACCCTTTATTGACTATGTTTGAGCACATGATACAAAACAGGAGCATTATCGTACTTACAACCCTTTTTCCTTGCATAAAAACCTTAATTAGTGGATTCAAAAATTTTCTCAAATTGAAAAAAATAATAATAATAATTTGAATAAAAGAATAAGTAACACGAAAATCTGTTTGAGAATCATGTCAAACACGTAAAACATGTAAAAAGATAAATCGACTTGTTAGAAAAATCGAGTAATTCATGCTTAATTTAAAAAATAAAAAATAAAAAAAAATTATTCAGCGGTACTTGCAAATTGAATTACAATTAGAATGTACTTAAAGAACTAATCCATGACTATTTAATTTTTAATGAATAGCTTCAAATTTACCCCAAAATTTATCATTTTGGTTAAGCAACTGCAATGCTTTTGTTGGGATAAATTGCAGCAGAAACCGATAATGGTGCACAAAACCGGTTGGTCAAACCAATGGGACCGATTCATCCAGTCAAACTAGTAATTATGTGTGTTTATTTTAGAATAGAAAGTCAAACTGTTACTTAACAGAATATTAATCAGTAATATTTGAAGGTTGCTTTAGCAAAAATAATTACTCGAACATAAATCAAGGTTTGTGTTTAGTCCAACTGTCCAAGCGTAATCAATTAAAACCGGCCATCTGGTAATTCATGCATAATCGTAATATTAAATTAAGAACTCGTTTTACATAACTTTTGCTTCTAATTTTTTGTAGAAGAGTTCTCTTACTATGCTACATTAGTTCAGTTTTT